GCTCCAGTATTTCTTATTTCTCCCTTCCTCTCTTGTAAGCATTTTTTTCTCTTGCTACTAAATCTATAGTTACAGTATAAAACCATGTTCCTATTATCCTCATATTGAACAAAAGATAGGATTTCCCTCAATTTCATTTCTTCATTAATTTTTCCCTGCTTCTCCCCCTTCCATTTCAGCAAAACTTCTTCACTTCATATATTCACCCTCTGACTTAACTTCCCTTCTTCCCTTTCTCAAACTCCTGTCAGGCTTTTGCCACTATCATTACATCATATCTTTAGCCAAGGTGCCAAGACCATAAGTGATTTCTCAGTTGCTAAACCTAAGTGTCATTTCTTCATTCTCCTCCTGAGCCACAGCACCATCTGAAATAATTGCTGACTCACTCTCTCTGGGGAAGCCCTTTCTTCCCTTTTCCTCCAAGTATCTTGCATGGTTTGGAGCCTACTTCCCTGACCACTGCTTCTGAATTTCCTTTCTTTCTCATCTCTGCATATATATCTTGGAGTACTCCAAGTGTTTATTCCTGATGTATTTTATTTTTGGCTTACCTGCACTCACTCAGAAATTTCATTAAATCTCGTGCTCTATTTCCATACTCTGAAGAATTACAAATGTGTATCTTCAGTCAGAATCTCTCTCCCAAAATTGACTCAATTATTTAAAGGCCTATTGATAGCATCATTTGAATGTCTAATAGATATTTCAACAGTAAAATACCAAAAATTGAGCCCTTAATATGCTGTCTCCCCACCTCCCCAAATTCTTCCCTGTTATATTAGTTTTCACGAATTCCTTATTTCTAGTTGTTCACACCAAATCCCTTAGAGTTCTCCTCCTAAACTGTCTCCCCATCACATTATTCAAGTCTATGTAGTAATCTTCTTTGCTTTACCTTCAAAATTAACCAGAATGCAAACATTTATTAATACTTCTGATATTATTAACATTTTGGTCCAAGCCACCAAAATAGGTTGAAGGCTTGGACTTCCTCACTACTTTCTCTGCCCCTGCCTTTGTTCTTATTATAGTACATTCCCTTCAAGTTTTGCTTTGTTTTTAATTAAAGTAAGTACATTTTTTTGAGACAGAGAACGAAAGTGCAAGTGGGAGAGGGGCGGAAAGAGAGGAAGAGAGAGAATCTTAAGCAGTGGAGCCTAGTGTGGGGCTCAATCTTGTGAGATCATGACCTGAGCTGAAATCAAGAGTCAGAGGCTCAACCGACTAAGCCACCCAGGTGCCCCTGGTCAATTCCCTTTAAAATAATGGTCAGATCACATTACCTTAGCTCAAAATCCTTTGGTGGCTTGTTATCTTGCTTATAGTAAATTCAAAGCCTTTACAAGATTGACGAAGTGCTATGTAATTTTTAGCTCCGTAGGTACATTATGCGTGTTTGTGCATGTACACTAGAACCCCCATCTGTGCCTTGTCACTCCCTCTTCTAACAGCACAAGACTGCAAGTTTTTTCCGAAGACTGACCTGAGCAACTGCTGTCATTGTGCCCTCAGAGCTGAGCGTCCATGGAATTTATATTCCTTCAAGCAGCCTTGGGCTTGAGGACTAACTTGTGCTGGTGTGAGAAACCCCAGCCGTGTTGATTGCAGCTGAGATCAGATCGGGGGGCTAATTTGTACTCCAGAATTCCCCTGCAAGATCACAGTCTTGCTTTGCTCCTTCACCTTCCGTTTTTTACTGCACCCTTCTTTTATCAGGTTCTTTCTGGAGAACATTTCCACAATAAATCGTTTGTATGTATGTATACTCTCAGGGTTTGCTTCTGGAGACCCAAGCCCAAGACAAGTCTCTATTCCAGTTTTCTTTTGGGCCACATCTCCTACTACTGGACCCCTTATTTGCTCAGCTCTAGCTTTGTATCTTCCCCCTTTTACTTTTCCCCATGACAGCAGGCATGTCCCCTTCTCAGGTCCTTTGCATTTATTCTCAATGTCCTCTTACTCCTAGTACCTGTAAAGCTCAGTGTTTCACCCCTTACTTGTCCTTGTTCAGATTATACCTTCCTACCGAGTCCTCACTTCCAGTACACAATATATCCTATCTTCCCATCTTTCTTTTCTCCATTGCATTTATCAGCTTAAAGTACAATGTATTTAATGGATAACACTTATTTACTGTCTCCTCCCATCACAATGTAAACATCCTGAAGGCAGGAAGTTTCTCTGTATCTACAGATCCTTGAAGAGTCCTTGGCCCACTAATGTGTCAAAACAACTAATTTGGGATGAATTGAATAAATACACATTCAATAATAATATGTAAACATTGTGTTAATTTGTACAGAAAATATATCATACTATATATCATTGTGAAGCATTTTTTTTGTCATTCACATTGTTTTTGAAATCAATCCATAGTGATATATATACATAAGCATCATTCATTTTTAATTGTTTCATGATATTTATCATTTAGAAGTAGTTTTAAGAGGAAACATGTATTTTAGTCAACATTTATATACAATTTTTCAAAATATTTACTTGTAGAAGAGAAAGTCTGTACAGTTAAATTTTCTAGCAATGAAAAAGTTAATATAAACACCAATTCAATATGAAAATATTGTCTCAATCACTAAGCATTTCTGTCATGGTTTTATTTTTTAACTTCTTAGACTTCTAAGTTAAATTGAAATTTTTGGGTACAAATGTCATATTGTTGTATCTTATAAATATAGATCATCTTAACCTTTAAAAAGAACAATTAAATTGCAGAACACTTCCTGCATAGATAGATGAATGATAAAATAGCATAGAATAGTAGTTCATTCTTTAAAATCTAGGCAAGAAAGACTAATTTCAAGGTCCAGCATTTCAACTTCATCTTTAGTTTTGAAATAATTGCTAAAATACTTTCTTAGATGAAGAAATTCAATTGAAATGAATGACAAAGATCTGTACTAAAATCAATGTCTCTAATGTTAGGAATATATTTATGAAATGTAACTCATGAGAGATTTTTCTTGAAAACTCAGAAATAAATACGAGATTACATATTTTTGTAATATCTTAGGATAGTGGGTTTAAAATGAACATATAAAATATTCTGAAATAAACTGATTTTAAATACTTCAGAACAAAATGCCATTTGTGAAACAAGGTCAGTATTAATTATCAACTTGACCTTCCAACATAGAAATGTGATTTGGAAAATCATCAATCTATAGAAAAGTCTTCCTTTTTTCTTTTCTTTTTCTTTTTTTTTTTTTTTAATTTCTTTTTCGACGTTTATTTATTTTTCAGATAGAGAGAGACAGAGCATGAACGGGGGAGGGGCAGAGAGAGAGGGAGACACAGAATGGGAAACAGGCTCCAGGCTCTGAGCCATCAGCCCAGAGCCTGACGCGGGGCTTGAACTCACGGACCGCGAGATCGTGACCTGGCTGAAGTCGGACGCTTAACCGACTGCGCCACCCAGGCGCCCCTCTTTTTCTTTTTTAATACCACACTGAAATAAAATGTTTCTCATTGCCCCTAGTTGTTTTTTGTGATCAGAGACCAGTTTTATCAGTGTATTTGAGTGGAAGGAGCTGTACTGTGCAAATTAGGAGACCTGGATTCTGATCCTCCTCTAACTAATATTTCAAAGAGGACTAAAATCTGGAGATTTATTCAGATACAAATAGTGTTCCTATATTGGAAACACACACAGTTTTTAGAACTGTATAAATAAAATATACTAAATTATTATATTATATTTAATATGACATATTAAATATATTAATTATATTAAATATATTAAATATATTATAAATAAAATATACTATTTTCACCAGAATATAAGCTATAACAATATAAAGCAGTTTCCCAGTGTTCATTATACATTTTTAGTATGAAAAATCAGATGGTGAAGTAACACATCATGTTATCTACTGGAGAAACATCACCATTACTAAGGATGAAGTTGTAAGATAGCTTCTAATAATGAAGCTCTTACACATTAAATTTCCAAGTGTTTTCAATTACAACCTATCATTGTGCTGAACACACATTTGTGAGACAATGCAGACACCATTCCTATCTTATTGAAGTAATTCATACAGTTTCATTGTTATTCCCAAAGTGTGGCTGGTTAACTGTGGCCACACATTATCTGTCACTGAGAGGTTGGATGTATAAAGTGGTGGGCTGGAACCAGCTTGTAACAACTCACAAGGATAGGTTTTCCTCATTTCTTTCCAATTCTGTGTTTAGTGACATAACATTGATAACTCTAATTACACCAGAGAAATTGGTAAGTACTATAAACACAATTGTTTTGTTTTGGGTTTTGTTGTTGTTGTTGAGAGACAGTTTACTAGCACACCACTGACTGTTCTCTCTCTCTGAATCAATTTTGGCTCTGAGATGACTTCGACCAATAGATTTTGGCAGAAATGATCTGTACCAGTTTCCTGGCCTAATTCTTCAGAAACTGTCCTCCCCTTTCTGCCTCTTAGAATATTTGCTCTTGGAAAATGCCCAAGCAATCAGTGAACAGGCCCACATAGACAAAAACTGAGGGTCCCAGTTGATGGCTAGGGTTAGCTTGTCAGCCACCTTCAGCTGGATCCTTAAGCAGTGGTCAGTCCATCCCAGGTGACAATATATAAAACAGAGATGAGCTTCCCCCACCAAGCCCAGCCTGAATTGCAGATTTGTGAGCAAGGCAAATTATTGTTTTGGTTTTCAGCCACTACAGTTTTGGGTGGTTTGTAATGGTACATTAGATAACTGGAATGCAGAGACACAGCTTGAGTGTAGACAAATTAGGACTGGGCCCCACCTTATGGAAAGTTCTTCATGCTTCTATTTCCTTCCCATTCCCCCATAACAGTACTGGAAAAATAAAGAATATATACCCTATTCTGAAGAATGCAGAGAAAACCCAAAACTAGTGGTTAAACTACTGGTTTTCTAACGGTGTTTGACAGACACTTTCAAAGTCACTATTGTGGAATCATTGCAGGCATTCTGAGTCAATGTTTCATGAGTAGTATATGCCTTCTCTTTTCCTGATTGTAAATTTCCATGTAATAAGAATAGCATTTGAAAGTCAAGTCATTTATCTTTGTTATGTGTCTAAAATTAGCATCTATTTTGTTTATTTGCTGACTGCCAGAAATATGATGAATAATAATATTGGAAGAATTGGCAGGAAGCTGAGCATGCATATGAATCACTAAGTCAAATTATAGTAACATTAAAAAATTAACTGTAGGGTAATGTAGGTTATCTTTCTTATTGGTATATCTGAAAACAATTTTGTAGATGTTTAAAACAAAGCAATCAAGAGAGAATCATACGGGTAACAAGTTAAAGTGTTAGTAATTGTAGATATGTCCACAATAGCATTAAAATATTTAATAACCTGCCATTAGTGAGTAAAACATAAAAGTACAAATCAAAACATTACACCTACTTTCAAATATCACAGACTCAAGTCTCGATTATCTGTCACCATGAATATTGTTGGGGCATTCTAAATGGTTCTGTTTTTACCCTCCTTCTCTAGACCTATTACTCCAAAAAACACCTCTAAAATAAGTATATTCTTGCACAGAACCTACCTTTTCATTCTAAGGAATAAACTCTAAATCCCTGTATTCTATACAGTTTCTCTTTTCAAATCTCAAAACTTCATTCTTTTCTTAACAAACTAGGTTACTCTCTTCCCTAATATTTCCCACACGTTCTCATCCCTACTTTTGACCATATTGATGCCACTATTTGAAAGTCCTTTCCCTCCATCTATATATATTGAAGGTAAAGTCAAATATTAAGAACCAGTTCAAAAAGGATGCATGAAATATTCCCAACCACCCAACTCCAAAAGTAGTAGCTCATGCTCCTGTATTCACACTTCTCTATTACAGTACTTCACTTATGTTAATATTTTATTTATTTCTATAAAAGCACATTTGTACTGCTAATAGTTCTCCAGTGTCTAATATTATTTTTTTCATTACTAGTATTGTCTTTTAGTTTAATTTAGTAAATGGGTGCACAGAGTCACTTCCTTTCCCTTTTGTAGCTATAGGTAGTTTTGTAACAACGTCCTTGCCAACTGTTTTAAGGAGAAGTCTTTCACTTAAAAAATTATGCTTGGTTCTCCTTTAAATTTTTTCTCCTTCCCATGAGACAGGACTTGGACTTAGCACTGGTCAACCAAGTTTGACGATGCAGATAATAGCACTAGTTGAGGGAGATGAGGCACAGAGGTGAGAGCCATACGCCCTGGATGATCTAGTAGTTCAAAACTGCCAGCCTACACTGGCCTACCCACCTACCTCATTGTTATGAAAAACATATATGATTCTATAGCCACCTAGACTATATATCCTAACATACTAATGCACTAATCTCTAACTTTCTGAGTGTAGAAATATCACAGATACTTTTTTCTTTCTCCTATACCTAGCACAAGGACTTGCAGACATTATGTGTTCAAAATGTCTTTGTTACATTGCATTGCACTAAAAACTAATTCTATTTGTAGGAAAAAAAATCCGTGTAAACTTTTGTTCATTAGATTGGCCTTATCAGCATTAGGTCATCTTATAGTCCTCTATTAAGATAATTAGATCATTACTTTTACTAAAACATTAAGATATTCATTGTTTATAATACAAGTCAGTATGTTTCAGAATTAGAGTCTATGTGGAAAGGAAATGGTGGCTGAGAGGATAAAAAGAGCAGAGAAGAAAGACTTCATAAAGTATCTGTGCTTCATTTATAGTAATGCTATGTGTATAAGGGAACCTCTTAAAAATGATCCACAAAGCAAATGGTATTTCAATAGTAAATATCACAAAGACCAAAGGAAATTTAAATCTAATTCAGAATTATTCAATAAAGGTCAGTGAGAAGTAGGTGGGGAAAAAAAGAACATCAGATGATAGGAATTTTCAATAATGTCCTCATCAGAAAGGTCAATCAAAATTATTTCCCTACTGTTTTCAAAGGAGGTAAAACTTTTCAATTAAGAGTTGTTGAGTAGTATTAAAGAGAGAAGACTTTGCCCTCAGCAATTTTTTTAAGTGAAAAAACACAAATCATTTTATCTTAATTCATCACTGTATACAAGAACCAGGACTTAAAAAAATAATAATAATAACAAGGCTAAGATTTTGCTATAAGCCTCCAGGCATAGGTAATATTTCTCTACTCACATGGCTTCTGTCATCTTGTAAGCAGAAAAGTAGGAGTCCTACTAAAGCCTGCCTCTGTGCAGTTTGATTATTAAACATAATTCTGAGTCACAGAGTTCTCACAGCTTCTGTAAAAGCTACAGGAAAAGATGCAATCCAAACAAAATGTTCCATATAAATTCAGGCAGACCATGAACATAATGGACCTATGTGAATAAACCCTCGAATCACAAAATTTCACCATGAACATAGAGAGTTGATGGCTTCACTGTTTCTAGTTGAAGGATTCCACAAAGTATCTGATTTCTGGTATATTTAGGGAATTGGCCTCATGGTATGTTATAGGAGCCACAAATGCCCCATGGTGGGGGGAGGGGAGGGGAAGTCCCATGCATAATAGAGAGTGTTTACAGGCTGATATGGCTAGAATTTGGATGGTTTGGACATTTCCGAGTGACCTCAAAAGAGAGTTGCTGGGGATCACTGTGTTAATGAACAGATAAAGTGCTCATCCAGACACAGTGGAATCAGAACGCAAGGAACTTTTATGAGGAAAATATCTCAGTGGTGGACAGAATGACAATAGTATATATTACAGCACAATTACATTTAGAAGGAAGTAGAACCAATTTCCTCACATTTGTGTAGAACATAACATGGAGCTTTAAATGTGGCAGGAAACAAATAAAAATCTTAGCATACACAAGATCTTTAAGATGAGCAGTTAGAGAAATCACTCCTTGGCCACATAACAAAAGCAGTGGTGTCATTTGGATATCAGAAGTCTCAATAATAAATTACCATAGGGACCAGATTAGGGAACATGGAATTTGCTAAATTGCTATGTTGGCTCATTTGCAATATCCAATGGGACCTTCTAAATATCACATAAAGATATGTGGGAAAAGAGCACAAGGTCTTAATTACAAGTAATCTATGAAATTAAAATGTGAGATTATTTTGCCATTAAAAATGCTAAAGCAATCTTGTTAAACATATGAAGCGTGGACATTCTAACACACTGTTGAAATGAATATAAATTTATCTTATATAAAATAATTGACTACTTTTATAAAAACCCAAAAAATATTCTTTCAGTAATTCCAGCGAAGGGAATTTATTCTAATGAAATATTCACAGAACAAATGAAGATTTACAAATATGTTTACAAAAATATTAATAAAACATTTCAAAGTAAATAACCTATATAAGGAAATTTGTTAATAAGGATGGCATAGTTACATATGGAATATACACAACTATTTTGAATTATATTTGATTTTGCCTGGTATCTATTAATGTGGAAAATACATAATATTAAACAGGAAGAGTAAATTACTTGAAACAAAGAGCAATAATGATCTTACTTTCTGAGGAAAAAGAGAATCAAGTTTCTTAATTCTTACTTTGAGAAGATCAGTGTTGTTGGAATATCTAACATTGATATTTGAGTTCAGAGAAAAGACATTGGCAGGTTAGTATAACAAGGTTCTCTTGAGTTAAGAGATCATCATCATGGAATGCATTAGTACCTGGGCCTTGATTGCCATGGAAGATATCTGGGTTTTGCCAAATCAAGTCTTGGGCCAGAATTAATCTCAAATAAGGTAACTTAACGATGTGGACATGCACTTGGGAGAGGTGTGTGTGTGTGTGTGTATGTGTGTGATCAAATGGTATTTCACTGGGAATCAAGAATTATGTTGGTATATATTATGGTATATGTATTATGGTTTAAAATAACCCTGGAGAGAGAAATTTTTTTCATCCAAGAAACAAATATTGAAACTCTAGCAGCAATGTCCATTGTTACATGAACACATAAGGGAGAACACCATATAGAAATTGCGTGTTTGCAGGAATAATATTGCATACTAGTAAAAGCAGCAATGGAAGCAGAGAATTGATTCTGATTGCTAGAAGATCATACCTTCAAGTTTTACCCATTGGACCAAATGAAGCCACTGACTTCTTGGACTCAGTAAGTACCAGGTTTTTGTTTTTTCATTTTTTTAACTTGTCAATGGAGTGGACACTGTACCAAGAAGAAAAGAATATTTTCCACAATAGGCAAAATGGGAAAATAGAAATGTGATATTGTGACTTTATATTTTTAGACAGCCTATAAAAACATGCTTGTATACTTACTATCAAGTGACATGATAATATTTGCATTATAGTACTTGGTGTTGACTCTCTGGAGAATGGGTATTGTGGGATAGGCTATTTCTATAATAATTATACCTAATTACAGACAGAAAAGGCTTGACCTTGAGAAGCTGAAATAGAAATGAAAATTAAGCAACTTAGGAATACAGACTATTCATTAAATATAAGTGAAAGATAATTAAAAATATCAATAGTTTCTTAGGATTGGAAAATAGATGGATAATAGTACAAACTTAGAAAATACAGAATTATTTACATATAGACAGAACTTACTCAATTTTGGAGTTTGTTCATACCTGTACGATCTCTAGATGGAGAGGTGAGGAAAAGCAAACATGATTATATACATAAATCTTAACTTCAAGTTCTGATATTAAAATAATAGGTTTGGGAATCAACACATACAAGGTCATTGATGCCACAAGAATAAGCAAGTTGGTGGAAGGAAATAATAAGAAAGTTTGTGAAGTGAGAAGAGCAACAGGTCTAGGAAACTCTGTAAAACACAAATATATAGAATGTACCAAAGATATAAATATGCTCATAAGAAGATAGTAAAAATAAGAAAGAGGAAACATAGAAATAAATGGAATAGTGTTTCAATAATATCAAATGAAGTAACATTCATTAGATATGGGAATTAGGAACTCCTTGGTGACCTTCCAAATAATAGCAGTTTTAGCTAAGTGCTGAGAACAGAAGCCAGACTGCAGTGGGTTGAATAGTGAATGGGAGGTGCAGAAGTAGACAAAGAGAGTCAAGGTTATTCCTTTGAGAATTCTGGAGTAGAAATGGAAGACAGCAACTTTGAAGTAACTGAAAGAAAGAAAGGTCTGTGCTAGCATATCAAAGTCATTTTTATCTTCTCCTTTAAGTACATTTAATAGTCTGGATGTTGGTAAAAGTTGAAACATGGTAAGGATTATTCTTTGTGTTTGAAAAAAAATCAAGGCCCCTTTGATAACACTCTTTTAATCCTGTGATTCTTACTTACAGTTATAAATGCAGTTAAAATTACATTCAATCTCATCAGAAATATAGCATCTTAAAAGATTTTTTAGGATGAATGGGAATCAACTGAATTTCTCAGTGTCCCTACAATTCTTTTCATATCTGGTTTCTTAGTACCCACAAATGATATTAACAATATTTGACCTCAGAGCAGCATTCACATCAACATCAGAAATAAGCACTAACTGGAAAGACCTGGGAAGTGAACAACACTGATTAGACAACAGCCAAAACCAACCAGTTCCATCAACAGTGTATCAAAAAGGCAATGCAATAAGGGGAGGGGGTTATATCCTCCATGGAAAATTTTGAAACAGTAATGAAATAGAATAAAAATGGGTGTACGTTTTACCATCATCATATATCAACAATTCTAAACAACGTATGTCATAAAATACTGCTTCCTTCCTTGCTGGACTACGTCAATTCCCACATTTAGTCACTATCCAGGTATGTATCAATTACTTATCAGTCGTGTAACCAATAAGCATAACATTTTTTAAGCATCCACTATGTTTCTAGCATCTCTTTAGCTGCATAAAGACACATACACCTGCATATACTAAGCAGACAATTGTGACATTGGCTTATTTTAGGTTTCCTCAAAATTGAGAGGAAGGGTAATAATTTTTGTATGTGTACTGTGCCTGGTTAACACCCCAGAAACACTACACACTTCAACTATGCAAACTTTAATCCACCTAAATAAATTATGCATTATAAAAATGTCTATTTTATACACTGAATAAACTGAAATTTAGAAGGTTAAGTGACCTACCAGAGGACATACAACCACTAACTGGTAGCATTAAGACTTGACTCCAGTATCCTTTCTTTCTCCACTAGTAGTTCTTAAAATTGTAGGCCAAAGTTTTCCTAATTGCAAAATCTCTCAAGCTGCCAACTTGATACACAAGTATAATGCAAATTACCTCCCCCCCCCCCCACCCCTCGGGTATAGGATATGGAAATAGAATACTACATATAGTAAGATTAAATTAAACAAAACATGCTGCATGGAAAAAGTTTACATAAATGTATTTGATGTTCTAGTGAGCACTTTTAATGGGTGTTAGAAACTGCTCAGAAGTGAGAGACTGAGGCTATAAGACATGGGCTGCCTCTCATCAGCCAGCTCTGTCCTGATTCAACACTCAGAATCTTTTCACAGTGTCAGACTGCTGCTCTACTTAAGAAGAGAGGAAGAAGAATTTTCAATACCAAAAAATAGGGAGGAAAAGGTATGTATAGTACTAATGTCATGGAAAAATACCAAATGCATTAAATTTGTCATGCAATTCATTCTAAATAACAGTGCACTTCAAAAATGACATCCAAAATGATATTCCAAAAGCTATCGTGCCTGCAAAAATCTTTACAATGTACACTATTAGAGTACAACATTTTAAACCAATTATTTCATTAACTGCCTTGCTATTATATGTAAGACAGATTTTCTTTGGTGAGTGAATAGAGATGCAGATCAGGTTTGATAATAATAGAGGCAGAGTATGACTAAGAGCTTTATGTACCAGTAGTTCTGAAAGTGGTTAGCAAACTGAAAGGTAAATTAGAAACTGAAGGTGATGTCAGATTACAGTGTGACTTAAAGAGAAGGAGTCTAGAAGCTTTTATTTTCACCATATTACCTGTCAAGGCCAAGTGGGAAGCTAAGATTCAGTTTATTTTTATATAAACTGTAAAACATTAAATGATATTCTGACCTTTCCAGTTTTACTATATGGAGATTACAGAGCATTTAGTTGTAATGTACAATTTACTTGGTCTTGTCTATTTATGCTTGATATTTTCATGCAGAATAACTTTTAAATGCAAAGAGCACATAGGAAAAGTTCGCAAGCAATGTTAAAATTTTACCTTGAAGCGTAAGTACTTAATGCAGAATACTGATTCTTCATATTAATACTCTGTCTGAGCAGAGAGGTTTTTTTGCAATATAGCTATATTTAGTTTTGTCATGTGAAGGAAAATGAGATATTAACTCATTTTAGACAAGTTCACCAGCTATTATATAAGATATCATTCTGATAAAGCCAATGACCAACTGTGCTCAGAAGAGGGGCCTGTGTAGTTATTAAAAAGCAATTATTAGTAAAGTTTGGAAAATGTTCTTTTTGTAAAAAGCTGATGATTATATAATAGGTGAAATGGATAAAGGAATAAATAATAACCAGTTTACTGAAGAACAAGTAGGAAAATGATTGCAAGTAGAGAATTGATTTCCTACTTTGATGATAGATGTATTATTGTCCTTCACTTTCAACCAAACTCAAATGACAAAAGTTCAGGCTTAAGAACAGCTTTCTTTATAGAGAATTCAGATTATCTATCACTGAAAATTTCTTTTAAACTTTGAACATAATTCAAGGATATCACAAAAAGGAACATATATTTTCACAAAAAGAACATACATTTTCAACTATATAGAGGTTGTTACCTATTCATATATGTATGGAGACACATTCATGCATGCACACAAAACACACCACATAGAATACAGATTATAAGGAAATACATTAAAACAGCGATTTTAGGATTACAGGGGACATAATCCTACTGTACTTTTATATGTTTTCTACAAAATTATATCACAAATTAATTGATTGGAAAGTGTTATTTCTGAATGAATCAGAAAAGTTTCCATTTGGGCCAAGAAAAAATGTGTTCATGGTGGAACTGACTCAGAATTTCAACCTTTGGAGGTTGACATCTCAGGCCCTCCACATCCTTCAGCTGTGTGATAATGGGCAAATAATTTAACTATATTTTTTTCTGCCTAATCTTCTAAAAATATAATATTTGAAGGATTCTTGTAAGAATTACATATAATTTTTGTCAAATTCATGAGTTCTAATATATTGTGAGCTTTTTAAATAACTAATTTTCCTTACTCTTATTCTTTTATTTTTAAGTTTTTAGTGTTTATTTTTGAGAGAGAGAGAGAGAGAGAGTGAGAATGAGCGGAGGAGGGGCAGAGAGAATGGGACACACAGAATCTGAAGCAGGCTCCAGGCTCTGAGCTGTCAGCACAGAGCCCGATGTGGGGCTCGAACTCACAAACCATGAGATCATGACCTGAGCGGAAGTCAGACACTTAACCGATTGAGCGGCCCAGGTGTTCTTCTTTTAGAAGAGTTACATTCATAATAATTTTAAAGTATGTTTTTGTTTCATAATAAACTATTTTCAGTAGGAGCAGCTACTATTTGAACAAGCACCTGGCTTTAAATAAAGATGTTGGAAAAAACATTCTTCCATTCTTTCATAAGATTATTTTGGTTTGTTCAAATATGGTTCATGGTAAATGTTTTAGGATCTAAATCTTTATTTATTTATTATCATTATTATTATTATTATTATTATTATTATTATTATAGCTTTTACTTATTTTGAGAGAGAAAGTGCAAGTGAGGGAGGGACAGAGAGTCCCAAGAAGGCTCCACACTGTCAACACACAGCCCCATGCCAGCTCCAACCCAGGAGCCATGAGAACACATGACCTGAGCAGAAGTCGCATGCTTAACTGACTGAGCCACCCAGGGGCCCGAGTATCTAAATCTCTGAGAAAAAATCTTTTACAAAATATTTATGGTTTTTTTTTTCTTTCTTTAGTAAAGTATGTTAAAATCTGAGCAAAATCACAAAAGAAAACAGTAACAATAAACTCATATGCTAATCCCCCATTGCCAATTAGGTAGTAGGAAGTCTTTTGACTAAACGTACACATCATCTTATATTTAAAATTTTGTTACAGGTCACTATTCTTTACCATTTTATTATTTTTTTAATGTTAAGAAAATTTTGTGGTTTGATTGGATAATGAGGCATTGACACATCTGAATAAATCAATATCTGGGCCCTGAGGCAACTGTTTTCTCCTTCATTTCTTTGGGTTGCCCGAGCAACTTGTAAATAGATCAAAACAAAACAAAACAAACAACCTTTTGCATTACTTAAATTTTTCCAAGGCATGTGCTGGTACAATACAAATCTCTGACAGATGCAACAAGTTGAAACATCATGCACAATACCTTGGACTGCACTGCTCCAAGCCGGCCCTGCTCATTTGTGTCTGATATTTGGAGCATCTGGAGGAGTGTGAATAGCATTGGGAAGAGGAGGGAGGAGGAAACAGCATGAGTGCCTGGCTGGGAGTGGGTGAACCCAAGTTGTGCAGGGCAAGCCTGAACGTGTCATTGGTGCAAACCCAAGAACTCTTGATGGTCTTTAATAAAAACGTCTGGTGGAACCTCATGATAGGGTCTTCAACAGCCTTGAGCTGGCTCACAGCCAAGTTAATTCTGCAGCTATCTGGTGTGGCTGATGGTCCTGCACTGTGATGCCGTGCTGGATTTTCTGGGACAGAACGCTAAACACCTTTCCAACAAGGGCAATTTTCCCTCGGAACTGCTGTCCTTCCCATGTAAGGCATGATGCGTCAATATAAATTGCACCTAGTTGTGTTCTATCATTACCAAATCACTGGTAGTAATGTTGAATGAAGCTGGATCCAGTCCGCTCCCAAGTTGACTGGGCTGTCATGGGACTTGATGAGACTCAAGGCACTGGCACCATAGCAGCAGTGGCAGTGGCAACCCAGCCCGGTCTCCTTACTTTACCATTTTAGAACTAAAATCACCTGTAACATCTTTTGTAGTTTCAAGTAAAAAAAAAAGTGAATTTATAAAGCTTGCTAAATCTGACAACTGATTAATATACTCAAGAATTTGATATACTCTCAGATATTCTGAAATTTATTTTCAAAGCTTGACTTAGCTGAAAATAAGTTGAAATAGATTTTTCCTCACACACTTTATTTTGTAATATTATAGGTAATAGTAAGGTTGTGTGGATTGAGGACAAAAATAAGAAAGCAAAAGATGCATCTTTTTAGGAAAATGGGCAAGAAATGAAAATACTGCAGATCATAATATATATGTATATATATATTTAAATCCCTCAATGTATAATCCTATTTTTGGATATACATGTGTTTATACTCAGAGAAGATGATTAAAGGTCCCACAGACTACCACAAACACCTCTCCATTCTCTAATTATTAAAATTACTTGTAACCTGCATTCTGAAAATACTCTTATCTAACATCTTTAAGCAGCCCCAAAACCTCTGGCAGAGAGAATATATCCTATCAGCCACAGCAGCACCCCTAAGCCATTTCTTAGGATTAGCCCAAGAACCATTCTCAGATGACCCTACTGAACTTCCAGATCATGACATTAAAACACAGTGACAGTTAGCTGGAGGGTTGCAGCTGCATTTTCCTTTCTTCTGTTAATGGTAAAGCTCTGAAGTCTGCTTAAGGGAAGGATTGTACAACTTCCATTTTCTGACTGCCTAAAATTATTTTTCTGAGAAATGATCCTTATAGATCACTAGCAGGCAAAATTGTTCTATTTTAGGAAACCCCCTAAAACAGGTAGAATATATAGGAAGGGTTATTCTCCTCAAAATATAGAATAAATGCTCTGCCTTTAAAGGAATATTTTTGGATAGAAAGCTTTAAAAACAGAAGCAGGAAGGGTAAAAGCACATTGGGGCTCAGCGCTAGAGGTAAATGCATATTGTATTAAAATTCACTTGAATGTGAGGACTGTTTCACTTCATTATCTCCTCTGACTTCCAACAAATGAATCTGTTTATCAGTATTCCCCAGTCATCAGTGCCATCCATAGGCTTAAAACAGAAAGAACCTTAATGTCTGAAAAAATACAGAGAGCTTCTATACTAACTTTAGAGAATGTGAATCAGTCAACATTATTTACATGTAGTTATAGTCAGTAGACAGAGCTTTGCTAGAAATAATACAATTTACACCCAAAATAGAAATATATACTTCTTGTCAGAGTTAGGACAAAGTATTTTGCATTTTCATAACCAGGTTAAAGTAAATTCATATATATGTGTAAACACTACTTTATATTTATTATAATGGTATTACATTGTAGATGATGCTGATCATATGGTAGCAACTGCTACATTATTTATAATAGCTTATACTTAATTTTAGGAATAAAAAAAATAGAAGAGAATAAATTTTTCATCGCCGGAATATATGTCCATCTGCATTGAGATTTCATAATAAAAACACGACATTAAACTATTTTTAGTCAAAATTTGGCAATAAGTAAGTTTTAAATATAGAAACAAGGATATCATTGTTTAAGAATTTTTTATTTAGGTATTTCAGTTGTAGAGCACAGATTCATTCATTTCTGTTGACCAAGCATTTCTTGAAAACTTACTAAGATTAAGAAATAGGAAGAAGAGGTTCTTGACATTAAGAAATGTACTGTTTAATAGGAAGTGAAGCAAACAAAAAAAGATCATAATGTTATGGTGAGTCCTATAATAAAAGTATGCAAGGCATATGCTGAGAAATCATAAAGGTAGACACTTAGTCATGAAAAGGTTGCAAAAAGGATGCTATCAGTGTTAAGTCTCAGATGTTTGACCAGCAGATTTTGCCTTGTTTTATAAGGTCATAATATGTAATATTAGTATATTGTATAATATAAATGTGTTAGAATATGGGAAAATGTATTAAAGAAAAATGTGTCTTTAGTTGTTGGCACAACTCAAACTCACTCCTGCGGTAGCATTAACAGTTAATATACTTTGCTCTCTTCTAGTAGTTGTGGGCTGCTGTAGACTCTCACACAAATAGGCAGATGCCCTATTAAACCTGAAAATTTGGGGTCATCACTTTCAACTTGGCTTTCAGTAATCCCTTCGTATCTATCAGTCTGTTTGGTCTGCTATAACAAAAAATGTTATAAGCTAGATAGCTTATAAATAGCAAATGTATATTTCTTACAGTTCTGGAGGCTGGGAAGTCCAATATCATGGCACCTGCAGGTTCAATGTCTGCTGAGAGCCAGTTTCTTCATAGATAGCTATATTTTCACCATAAGCTCACATGGCAGAAAGGGCAAAAAAGTCTTCTAGAGTCTCTTCTAGAAAGGCACTAATTCCATTCATGAGGGCCTTGCTTTCATGACCTAATTGCTTTCCATAAGCCCCACCTCCTAAACCCACCACACTGGGCATCAAGTTTCAATTTATGAATTTGGGGTGATGGGCATAAACACTCAGTTCATTGTAATGTTCTAATATATTTTCTAATCAGTTTTCTTGAACATATCTGTAACAACATTTAAAAATTTTAGGGGTATCTGGGTGGCTCATTGGGTTAATTGTCCAACTTTGGCTTAGGTCATGATCTTGCTATTGGTGAGCTCGAGCCCTGCATCAGACTCTGCTAACACTCAGAGCCTGAAGCCTGCTTTGGATTCTGTATCTCCCTCTCTCTCTGCCCATCCTACACCCTCAAAAATAAATAAACATTAAAAAAATTTAACAAAGTAACATTTTATGCATTCTGAACATCTGCATTGTATCATATTTCACTAAAAAAGTTCATAAAACAAAAAAATTCCAATTCCTGGCACAATGATCCAAACCTACTTCTGCAGACCTACCATCTGTAATTTCATACATGCTTTGGTCAAGACTGTGTTCCTTCTCTAATAAAGGCAGTCTTCATTTTTGCTATAAATGTCAGCCTCTCTCTGAACCCTTTTATTTCTAGTTTTTCTGGTCTTATATCTTCTGTTTGTGGGTCCTTATTTACCCCCTTTGAATTTTATTCATATGTTTCTTATATTATCTAGTGACTTCTATCTTAAAATTAAAAGTTGAGATTTTATGATTCAATAACTGTTCTTTCCTCTTCTTCATAGTCACATATGATATGTGCTGACTACAATTCCTGTTTCCATCTCCTCATCTCTCATTAACTCTAAGTGCCCTCCAGTCTACCATCTAGCCCACCACAGCACCAGATAACTCCAGGTCAGTCTAGCAGGATTTTCCATTCAATGAAAACATTTTATTCTTCACAATATTTGATATAGTATCCAAGACTGTCAAGAACTTAGCTGATTAAATATTTGCTAGTCTTCTTTATTTCTAAGGAAATCTTTAAATAAAATATAAATATAAACACATAAAGTGATGAGACCCCAAGAACAAAAAGCAGTCATTAAATGTTTTCAATTATTTGTGTCTTTATACTCCAAAGTGACAGAAAACAACACAATCCTCCTCAACACTAAATGACAGTAAATAAATTTTAAAAGGAAAAAGCCTAGGTAATGTTAATTGGGAAAACAATTCTTTATTTAGAATGGTGTAGCATGCATTTTCTCTAAGGAGAACTGCTAATTTTTAAGGTTATGCTTCCAAGTAGGAGTTGTAGTAAGAGAAATAACAGGTCATGACTTCTTGTCATGTAAGGAGAAAAGCTAGAAAGGGAGTTTTGCTGGATTTTAACATGGACTGAAACCTAAGCCCAATCTGAAGCCTGAAGGAAGGGATAGATGGAAGCACAAAAGAGGTCCTATGATTGAGGGAGGGACAGAGGTCACAGAACTGGAAGATGAGGAGGAGAAAGTGCAGGTAAGAATGGATATGAAACCAGGAGAGTCTGTGCTGTGAAGAAAGCCTCCCTGGTGTCATATACCATCCTAAAGCTGAAGTTTGGGAGGTTTTTCCTGTGCTGTGCAAGTCAAAGTCCAAGTTAACGGGAACTTGAATCTTAGTACTTTCTTGGTTTTAACTCCATTTTGAGATTTCCCAGAGCCTTCCAAACAGAACTTTTCATTCTAGAATACTATTCTCACAAAGTCTAACTGAAACAGAATAACAGAGGGAATGGAGGCTTGATGCACCCTACTCCCTTTCTGTCTCCACAGAAACAAGGACCATCCATCCCCATGAGGAGACTTTTATGAGGTGTCCCCATGGCAAGAGGAGGCAGTGAAGACACCCACTGTTTTGGGACAGTTGGTCTCTACAAATGCAGGACAGAAAGTAAAACCACACTTGATAGTACTCTTTAAGTTAATTTGGGGACATCTTTTCAGAAGGAAGTAGGCAGAAGTACCTAGGATACACGCAATGATAACCCCCTTCTTCATGAATGCCTTTAAGAAAATTATTTCTAGATTTCTGCCACTTATCCCAGTTTCCTCCCATGATTCGTATTAACCAAAACTTTAAATGTTCAAATTTCTGTCTTGACCCAAACTTATCAGTCACCAAACCCAAGTGAATTCTATCTCAAAAATATTTCTTCAGTACAAAACTTGTCTAGCTTCATGGCAGCAGCTGGTCTAAGCCACTAAGATTTCTTGCTTTGTTTCCTGCAATAGCTTTCTAGTTATGAACATTCACTCTTGCTTCTTGCTTCCAGATGATTCTCCACAAAGCATCCAGACAATCCTTTCAAAATGTAAGTTTTATCTCTTGTTTTCTTGCATAAAATATTTCAGTGGCCTTCCTTGCTTTTAAATGAAATCTCCTAAATTCTTACCATGGTATATAAAATCATGCCTAAACGTCTCATCTAAGAATGCTACACTTTCCTTTACTCCTAAGCCCTGAACCACAATCACAGTACTGGAGTTTCTCCTACTTTCCAAGCTACTAGGGACCTCATTTCTTCTCTTTTTATATCTCTGCCACAAAAGAACTTTCTTTTAGCCTTTAACAGTCACTTCCTTGTTTTCATCTGGGATGATTTCTATATATCTTTTATAAGTTATCTTAAGTATCAGCTATTTGTGGATGCATTCCTCTGAATCCAAACTCAGACTATGTTCCTCTGGTGTCTGTGTGTGTGTGCATGTGGTATGCACTCCCTGTATCCTAGTTTTTCTTCATACGTCTCTACTCTAAGTATGTGTATGATTGTTATTTAGGTCTATCTCACCCTACTTGACCAAAACCTTATTTTGGAAAGGGACTGGGTCCATCTCAATGTAATTTTGTGCTTTCAAGAGCACAAAGCAGCCTTCTTTCAGTCCTTTTTCTTCCCTCCCTGACAGTTTTCTGGATCTAAAGACATACATTTTTCTTTATTTTAATTTTTATTCTGAGAAAGAGAGAGAGAGAGTGTGTGTGTGAGTTGGGGGCACAGACAGAGAGAGAGAGAGGGAAAGAGAGAGAGAATCCTAAGCAGGCTCCACGCTCAGCACAGGGACTGACACAGAGCTCAATCCTAACTGGGATCATGACCTGAGCCAAAATCAAAAGTCAGATGCTCAACTGACTGAGCCACCCGGGCACCCCTAAAGACACATATGCTTTAAAATGAGAGTTGGGAGAAGTAATGGATCAGGGTGTGAGAATAAATATAATCAAACATCAAAATAGTAACAGACAAGTAAGCCAAAAGAAAGGATATGAATAAAGTAAAAGAGAAGTACAGCCTAGAAGAGAGAGATCTGGAAACTTAACATCCCAAGCCAGTGCTAATTATCTTTTCAGAAATTAAAAATTTGAAAAACCCACATGGGTTAAAACTTCCTTTTTGTTTCCATGTGTTAATAAAATACACTTTTTGAAATGTCGCCCACCATTCCACTTTCAAACACAACAGTTGTTTTAAGTTCTTCATGGCTGCTTAGAGTCATTCCCACCTGCATATGACTTTTTTAATAATTACAGTGGAGGTTTATTTTGTCTACTGACTGATTCACTCACCTTACCATGGACATTTTCCTGCAGTGTTTACAGTAATCACTTTAGTAAGAGCATACCATGCCACTGAATTACTACAATTCACTGACTGTTCCCTGATTTCTAACCATTTTTCTACTAATTTTTTTTCTATAAAAATAAGTCTATAGTAATAGCTGGTTTCATGGTCATTTATTTTTCAAAGTCTAATATTTTTTAGGTTCCGCTTACCAGAAAGATATTGATGTGAAAGTATGAATATTGCTATGTATCTAAATATAAACTTCAAAATGCTTTACATGAATCTTTTAAAAGCCACAAATGAGAGAGGCATAACTGTATATCAAGTTAATGGAACGTATGTAAGGAGAAAAAATATGGATTAAAGTCAGAGTAACTGGCCTAAATGCCTCTGCTCTGTAAATTAACTATCTTCCTTTCTTATCTTGTCTCTCCCTTCCCCCACCTCTCACTCTCTCTTTTTTGTCTTTTGTTGTCTGCTGTGATTGTTGACAGCCTGCAAAAGCATCCTAGTCTATGTGAAATTAGCTTTCCAAAAGGCAAAATTGCTATTTGAGAAGATAACATTCAAAATGATTCCTGTGAATCAGATAGTCTATTGTGAGATGGACTGAATTATGCATTGAGTTGCCACAGATTGAATATTACTATTTCAAGAACTTTTTTTCCTCCCATATCTTATAAAATAGGAGTCAGAAAGTGGAAGGAATTAAAGGTTTCCTCTTCCTTTTCAATTTCACCCCTTCCTGTCAGCCTCCTTTCTTACCTCATTGTCTTTCCCAGTCATCTTCCTAGAGATATATATTTAAAACACAAGTAATGCATTCTAATTGTTTTGTTGATGTTTAATTGAGAGGAAGAGCTTCATCACTACAGCAAACTCATTTTGCATTTCAGAAGAACACATTAACTTTCTGCAGAAATATTTTTGCCAAAGACTTTGTTTTGATACTGCTTTAATTTTCTTTAAGCCTAATTTTCTTTCTGTATTCATTATGTAATGGAGCTTTGAAAAAAATGGCAATCTCTGTGTTTTGCCTTGAGCTAGCAAAGGATTGTTGTTCTTGTTTTTTAAGGAAGTACAATTGCTAAGAAAAATTAATGGATAATTCAGCAACAATTTTACTCCTGCAAGCGTAAAGAAAAAAGAAAAAAGGCATACATGAGAATAAAAACCTTAGAAAGTAATGGATGAATGGTTACAATGTCTATTGGAATGCCCAGTGTAAAAAAATACAGATGGTGGTGTAGATTTAAAAGGACATATAGGCACAACTTAAATATCTTTTCTTTAAATAACATAACTCTCTAGAGTATGTCCTTAGGTATTTACAGAGATTTCAATTGCATTTTAACTGATCAGTTGAAAAACTATAAATTCTGTGATTATGAGAATGAGTGAAAGGGTAAATCAAAGGATGATTTTTAAGCTCCACCTAGTATCCTTACTCTGCTAAATTAAATAATAATGTGGACTATTTGGGAATCTTGTAGGAGAAAAAACAGATAGATACATGCAAATAGTGAAAAACTCAGGCCTTCCATGTAACATTTTCTACACAATATAAAGCATCATAAATGTTGATTGCAGGTTCAGCACAAAGGTCATAAAAACATACAGACCATTCACCAGGTTCATCTTTTCAACCCCCCTTCATTCTAACCCCCCATCCAACCCCCTTCACAGAACTTCTCAAATTGCTCCCTGATCCCTTCTAGGTCTTGGTTCCCACTGCAGCATCTATTATATGAAATGTAACTTTGTCTCCTTTTGGCCAGAGTATGATCAGAGAAATAGACTAGTAGGACATACAATTTCAGAGATTATGCTAAAAAATGTAACACGTATGCTTGTGAGGGCTGGCACAAGTTCCCAAATCCATAGGGCAGGCTACAGGAAAGGGCACGATGGAACTCTCGGGCTTAAGCTAAACCTACTGTCCACCATGGAATTTCTCTTCAAGAAAACCTCAGTTCTACTCTTAAGGTCTTTCAACAAGACTGAACCAGGCTCACCCAGATGAATTAGAATAATCTCACTTACTTAAAGTCAACTGACTATGGAATTTAATTATACTTACAAAATGCCATCACAACACCTAGATTAATGTTTGAATGAGTAACTGAAGGCAATAGCCTAGCAAGTTAAAACCTAAAATGGACAGCCACAGTCCATGCCTTGTAAACTTAGCACACATACACACCTGAAACCAAACTTAATCCTCAAATAGAGACAACATGGGGTGCCTGGATGGCTCAATCAGTTGAGTGTCCAATGCTTGATTTCAGCTCAGGTCATGATCCCAGAGTCATGAGATTGAGCCCTGCATCAGGCTCCTTACTGAGTGTGGAGCCTGCTTAAGATTCTCTCTCTGGAGAAGATTTTCCCCTCTGCCCCTTCTCTGCTTGTGCACACATGCTCGCTCTCTCTCTCTCTCTCTCTCTCTCTCTCTCTTTCTCTCAAAAAAAGACAATAACAAAGTCATACTTCTACAAAACATGATTCAGGTATCTTGCATAAATTGAAAACAGGCCAATCCTTTCCCTAGGAGAGAATGCAAAGTATTGATGTAATGCTCACTTTCTTCTTTGATATGCTTTAAATTATATACTGTGATATAAAGTTTATTATAAATAACTCTTACATGACAGGGGGATAAGAGGAAGAAGAAAATATATCTAGCAGGTGTATGTATATAAATGTGCATATATATAAACATATTTATATTAAGAAAAATACACATAACTATTACAATCCTCATTTCTGCAACTGATCACATAGTTGTAGCAGGAATTTATAACTACTTTCTCCTCTAATTCCAGTTCCATTCTTCAAGGGTCTAGGCCATTAGCAGTCCTATCTGAATTGTACTTTAACCCTGATTTTAATCGTAGGACATGACAGCACTAGGAGATACCCTAGGGAACGTTCTGTATATCAGACATACTCTTCCTCACTTCTGTTATTCAGTAACAACCCAATTACCCCCTTGATAATCTGGATCAGTCAGCCCAGACAGTAACATTGTAATTCTCACCTTATCCTGCTAATTCAGAGGCACACAGAGCCCAACGTGGCCAGGAGGCAACCTCATCTTCCAGTTCAGTGATATTATTGTTTCATCTCCTTGTGGATACATTCTTTCTTTTCCTTTGGAACTAAGGACTCTAGACCAACAAAACCTAAGGTCATGGGAATAGGACATCAAATGTTTGTGTAATACAGAATTGAATCACTCCAATTTCCATTCTTCAATTCCTGCATCAATGAATGCTAGCTGTGGAAGAAATTGCAACATATAATAGATGCTAATTTAGATCATATACAGATTCCTGCAGGACACTGCATAGGTCCTATAAGGTATTGCCACCTATCTGGCACTACAGTCTTCAGAAGACTATTTTACCATTCACTTCAGGATGATGCAAACATGATAAGACCAGTGATTTCAGGAGCATGGGCCCATGCCACACTTTATTTTCTGTCCAGTGAATGTCTTGAATAGAAGCGATGCTCTGTGGAATACCTTGGAGGTGGATAAGGCATGGTAAAAGTCCATGGGTGGTAGTTTTGACAGAAGTATTGAGTTCAGGGCAGGTAAATCATATCCAGGGTAACTGTCTATTCCAGTACGAATAAAGTACTATTTCTGTGATAGAAGCTGTCCAGAGTTATCAGTCTACCATCAGGTAGCTGGCTGATCAACTTGGGGATCCAGATGTATTCTAGCGTGCCTAGTTTTATTCTCTACTTCTGGCACAGTAGACAATCAGCAGTAGTTGTAGTCAGACCCGACTTGAGTATAATTCTGTTAATAATTCTTATTAAGACTATGTGAAACCTCCATCCCTGCCACCATGGTCAATCGGCTCATGAGCCCAGTGGGCAATGACAGGGGGCTAGGGAAAGAGGTTGACTTATATTCAAAGAATAGGTACTTTTATCCACTTGATTTTATTTATTTTTTAATTTTTTAAATGTTTTATTATTATTTATTTTTGAGAAAGAGAGAGAGAGAGAGAGAGAGAGAGAGAGAGAGAGAGAGCAAGTGGGGAGGGGCAGAGAGAGATGGAGACAGAATTCGAGGCAGGGTCCAGGCTCTAAGCTGTCAGCACAGAGCCTGACACAGGGCTCGAACTCATGAACCATGAGATCATGACCTAAGCCAAAGTCGAACGCTAAACAGACTGAGCCACCCAGGTACCCCACCTACTTGATTTTAAAAATCTACTGAGGTCACCATTTCAGGAGCAGTCATATAGGAGACAAGTATCTTTACATCCTTTTACCATTTATAATAATCTATGCATGTGCCTCTTCCCCAAATCTCCTTGTCACCAGTTTTCTCAGTCATGTTCCTTCTAAATCCTGACCATTTAGCTAAATTATTAACCACAGCCAATGAGCTGCT